TCAAATAACTGTTTTTGCCAAATTGCTTTTTGCTTAGCAGTGCTAAAACGAGCTTTAAACAAATACTTGAAACTTCAAGCTTGAGCAGCATCATTATTGTAAGCATTAGGCTGGGGATTCAGACTGTGATACTAGTCTAGAGCAATACCTTTCATGTATATTGGTGCAAGTTCTAATCGATGAGCATTATTCCAATGATTTGCTTTACAAGCTCTTTAAAATTCTTGGAGCCAGGTGAGTGGGTCCTGGGTTCCATCACCAAGGAAGGGCTCTACTGTGATTAATGTTTGTTCAGGAGCAGTTCCTAAAGCAGTGGCCAGTGCAGTTATAGCAATAGCAGCATCTTGTAAAGCTTGATCACCTATATTGGCAGGAGGATTAGGAGAATTAAGAGGTGGTAGTAGGGGTAAGGGTATAACAAGAAGTTGATAAACAGGAGGTAGAGAAGGTAGAGCAGTGTAGACAAGGTCAGCTAGATCAATATTTAATTTGTGGTCTGAGTCTGGTTCTTTGTTACTAGAATTCCTAGGTTCAAGAATATTTTCTTGATCAAGATGAATAATCTAAAAGGGAGTATTGTTAGTTTCTAATAGGGTTTGTTGAGTGACTTTTTTATTATATGGGGGAAGATTATCTTCTGGTTCGTAGAAGTGATAAGTGTCTTCTGATAAGGCAGTTATGCGAATACTGTTATCTGTAGAGGTGGCTTGCAAGATAGGGCTTTTTAAATTTCCAAAGAATTGACTAAAGTTTTCTGATTCTTCAAAACTAAAGGTTTGAGGTATGTCAAGATAATAGTTGAAGGTGTTTTGGTATTGGAATAGTAAGGTAGAGAGTTGGAGGAGAGGAGTATGTCATTGAAGAAGTGTAAGGACTATGTCTTGGGAGTTGGGAAGTGCAGTTGTATAGTGACAGCTAAAAATAATATCCCAGATTGCTATACGAGTATCAGTATGATTGGTAGTACTGATAAGTATGGCAAAAGTGTCTTGAGTCCTTTAAGAATAAAGTAAAGCTGAGTAGCGAAGGTTGTAAAAGGTCCAAAATTTTCCAAAAGGTGTACAAGGACTTGTTTGACAAAGGTAATAGCAATCAGTACAAGAAAGATCTAGGTAGCGTAATTGTAATACGTCTAGAGCTAAATGTCCTAAGTCTAAATATGCTTGCTGATGATTACAAATATATTCTCGATGTAACTTGTTAGCAGTTTGTATCATATGCTAAGAAGAGCATTGCTAATATAGTAATTGTCTAAGGTCTATTAAGAAGAAGAGAATGGTTCACATGCTAGAGACAGATGTCCAGAGATTTCAACAAAAATACAGCTCATGTACTGAAAACAGATGTTCAGAAAATTCAAAAATATGACTCGTATGCTGGAGACAGATGTCCAGAGAATTCAAAAATATGACTCACATGCTAGAGACAGATGTCTAGAAATTACCGAAGAAGAGAAGTAGAGGAGAGATGTAAAGAGATTTAATTATATTTTTGCCAGAAGACATCAAATGTTACAGTACTATGACCTTTTTAACAGCAGTACTATAACAACAACATGGCTACAGGGATCCTTTATAGGTTTATAGCAGTGTCCAAAAGGTAAGTATAATTTCTTAGTCTGTAAGAAACTATACCCTTCTTTCTAAGGCAATTCGGTAAAACAAAAGATGATAGTTTATACTTTAAACACAGATAACAAGCCTTGCCTGTAGGAATTATCCTAGAGAGAGAACGTTATATACTTTTATTAATAAGAATAAAAAAGCTATCTGTTAGGCTTCTGTATCTAAGGAATCCTTTTACAAGAAGAATACTAAGTTAAGAATAGAGAAGAAGTGGTCTGTATCTACTGTCACTTGAAAAATTTAGCAGAGTTTATATATCTTTGGATTTAAGTGACAAAATAACTAAGTGACTAAGTGACTAAACAACTAAGTATTTAAGCGACTAAGCGACTAAGCAGCACAATAATGCACAGTAATTGGCACAGTAACTGGCACAGTAATGCACAGTAATTGGCACAGTAACTGACACAGTAATGCACAGTAATCAGCACAATAACTAAGTATTACATCATGTATAACAATATAAAATAATATACTAATAATAATAATTAAATAATAACTAAAAATAACTAATAATAAATAAAATAAAATAATTATTCTATAACAATATATTTTAAAAATTTATTAACTAATATATATTAAAAATACTAAATAAAAATATTTAAAATTTCAAAAAACCTAATTATAACAAAGATTTGAACCTTTATGCATAACTCTAACCTTGGTCTAAAATTGCATTCTATTTTTAAATTTAATAAAAAAAATAAAAAATAATAATACATATTACCATTAGTAATAAATATATAAATAATATAAAAAAATATAAAAAATTATAAAAAAATGTAAATAACACAAAAATTTATTATACTGTAGCTAGCTTCTGACCTCTAAGTAAAAGTTTTTAAAATAAAATTTTATTCGTAAAACAATTGTTAATATTAGATATATAAGAAATTTTTGAGACATTACAATCATATTTTTTTGGCAGACAGCTTAAATTTTCTTAACATAAGAATATTCTTTAAACCCTTAAAGATTCCTACGGATTTCTAGGCTACATATTCATAGAATAAGTTTTGCAAGGATATTTTAAAGGTTTTTTTTAAACTGATTGTTACTTTTAGATAATAAAAAATGCCTTTTTTAAAAAAATCGGGTTAGAATAATCTTTTAGTATATTGTAGATCATTTCTAAATCGTATAAAATACCTTACTGAAATCTGCAAATTGTTTTAGAATTTTCTAGAACCAATTTCCATTGGGTAATATCTCCGACTGCACTTACCGTTTATCCTATAATTTTATTGGTCGATCGCGTGCATTCACTGATATACTGGTCAAAGAACCGGTTCTTACTCTTACAATCACACGGATGAATAAATACTAGTTCTTGCCATGCACCAACTTCTATCTTCTTTCAATTCCCAAGGTAGGTGCGTATGTATGTGCGTAGCAGCAACTACTAACCTCTTTGTTACGTGCTTTACGTGAAGTTTTTATTCTTTTAATAGTTTCACCAAAATCAAGAAACTATCGTCTTCATTAATAGTCGTATGTATGTTTCTATTAACATAGATAAGAGCCATGGAATTTTCAGAAAATCACTTGGGGAATGACCTTCGGTTAACATGTGATTGTCAGCAACCTGCTGTAAGAAAGATCGCAGGTCCCACGGCTAGAAATCCTGGAAAACCTTATTATGTCTGCAATCAAGAAAATCGCTGCCAATTTTTCGAGTTTGAAGAAAAATCAATAGAAAGGCTTCGAAATCTTGGGGTAATTAACGACAGTAATCCCTCTCCCTTGCTCTTTAATATGAATCAACCAAATGTAGTCACGCGTTCCTCTGTCAAAAGGAAAGCCACTAGCGACGATGATGATGAGATTAGTTTTTGGACTAGTGCTCCCAAGAATAAGGATGCAGGACGTAGCTTGTTTGAGAACAAGGATAAAACCAGGTCAGCACCAAATGTCATACATTTTCAACATACATCACCTGGATCTGGTAATGGCTGTGGCATGAAGCATGATCATAAATCTATGGAATTGTCAAGAGCTATCACCGAACACATGAGTCGACAAGATCGACTGTTGTTAGCATCTAATAAACGAATTAAGTTTTTATTGGATGAATGGAACAGCTCTAAAGATGAAATAAAGCGCCAGAAACAAGAAATAGAATATTTAAGGAATAGAGTTCAAGAAATGGAAAATGACCATTCTTCAATTTCCCAGACGTACGCAAATGAATTATACAAAAATAGGATAGATCTAGTTTCCTCAAATGCGTACAATACTCAACTTCTTAAAGAGATTGAAACTTTGAAAAATTCGAAAGACCGACTTTCACAAATAGTGTTGCGTTATGAAAAACAATTTGCGGATGATAATGAACAAATAAACAATCTTGTCACTCAAAACAATCATTTGGCGGATGCTAACAGATGTTTAATTCAACAATGTTCGCTCACAAATTCTCAGCCTACTAACTTTCAAGATACTCAAGAATTTAAAAGGCTCAGCGAAGAAATTTTGAGCTTGAGAAGTCATATTTTGGAACTCGAGAAGAGTAATGATCTTTTAGGAAGAAGCAACGTCACCTGTCGTAATGTTGGAAATTTGGAAATTGATTCTGTCACGGCTACTAACGAATACTCAAATAATGCTGTAAAGTTGGGTATAGATAATAATGTTAAGTATGAGCCGATTGATTTAAAATTTAGACCACTCGAAGAATAGAGCGGATGTGATAAAGAATACCAGGACGTAAATAAATGGATCAATGTAAATTTTCATATTAAATATTAAATTTATTAAACGATTACTTTTTTTTATTGGTAATAGACATTTGTCAATATATTTCCTTTGGGTAGATTTTTCACTATAGCTTGGTAGTTGAAAAATTATAGTTTGCAAAGGAAGGAGATCCCTTTTTTTGATTTATTTGTAAACGGTTATGATGTCACTGATAGAAACATTATATTGTAGATTAGTTTCTATAAGAAAAAAAATGTATATATATCTATTTAGAAAACATTTTTTTAAAAAAAATCAGCAGCCCTTAAAACATTTGAATAGGATTTTTTAAATTTGAGCAAAATAAATTAAAAATATTATACATAATATACTGTCTTTTTTTTTTAACTGTTAAATTTACAAAGACTTTTAAAATTTAAGTTATTTAATTACATGTACAGCAAAGGCGGTGCCCGATCACAAATTAAATTATTTATGTTGGATTCAATTGCGATGGATATAATCCCTCACCAGTTTTAATATACAGTTGACTCTGGATATACCGAACCTGCTTATACTGAACTCGGGTTATAACGAACCAGATCTGGCAGAACCGAGTTTTTATAAGGCTATACCGAACTTATATAGTAAATTTTTATATACTGCATCCAAACTCTTCTTTACCAGCCCAGGATTATGTGCACATATTTCACATATTTCGATATAACGAGCTATTTGTTTGTATATAATACCAGTTCTGAAAGATTCTGAACCGAAGCATAGTTTCTGAATGCTTAGTGGTCCTACACATGATTTCATTGGTTAGCTCTGTATAATCAGTCCTCTGGGATCGAGTTATGACCGATTCTGACCGATCCATAAAAGAATCTGAGAATTTGATTCTAAATCACATAATAGCTCATTATGATCAAGATCTTGGAACCCAGTTTCTTTTATAAATCTTAGAATCCATTTTTGTTAGATATTAGAAGAGATTTTTGACATGAAAAAACACTTGCCTTAAGTAAATAAAAATTTTTTTTAAAGACATGTTTCTAGTATTGAAGTAATTTACAATTCCAATTCAATATATAATTAAAAATTAAACTAATAACAGGTAACTATCTTTAGATTTAAATATATGGGGCGTTATCTATTAAATAGCCCTTTTTTGCAATTTTTTGAAAAATAAGTTTTTATTAAATTCTTATAAATTTTGACATAATTGATATTTTTCAATTATAAATAAAAGTTGATTTATAATGTTAAAGAAGAATTACATGAGGCTGCCCAAGGCCAACACATTATGAGATTACTTGATAGTCATCTGTTACCTTTAACCAATCAAAATTGTGAAATTTATTAATCTCAGATCAGTCTGAAAATCAAAACAAGTGATTAAACTCAATTATCTCAAAATTAGAGATGAATAAATTTATAAAAGTTTTTTTTTTTGTTTTTGTTAAGACTAATTGTTTATAATGATTTTTTGTTTTATATTAAAGTTCTTAGTTTAAAGAAAGATTTTTATTTAAGTTTATAGGATATTTGTGTTTTTAAAGGTTTTTTTATATAGAAGATTACAATTAATCACATATGTATTTTTAGTATCTAATTTAAAGATAGAGAGTACATAGATCATTTTTATATAATTTTATATAGTATTTTGAAATTTTTATATAAAATTGAAATATATTACTTATAAAACTTTTTTTTTTTGTTAAAGGTTATACTTTGTAACAATACTTTATTGACTTTTATTGGGTTAGTTATTACAACTATTTTACAGAGATGAGAATACAACTAGTCACACATGTAACTTTTGGTTACTTATTTAAGTAGTCCATTCTAAGATTCTATACTAAATGCTGTATTTATAATTTACTAGAAGATTATCTATTTAAACCTTCTGATTATCTGTTCTGTCATGATATAACTCTAACTAACCCTCTGTATATACCTAACTAGTATACTATTTGAGGAATATAGTACCTATCCTTTTTGTACTAATTCTCAGATCATTATATATTTCAGAATATATTATTTGTCAATAAGACATGGGAGGTTCTTCATTGTTAACTATCTACTTATTTTTAGAACACTAACAAGAGTTACTTTTACAGAGTTTACTCAGACCCCAGTACTGATTTCATAGCATATTCTTAGTGTTTTTAGTATACTTCTGTTTTGATCTCAGATTTTTAATTCAGATAGTCTAGAAGAATTGTGACCTGTTCTTGATATATTAAAACTGATCTAATATCTTTTTTTTTAATCTGAAATCTGACAGCCTAGTTGATAATATCTCTTGTTCAAGTTTCTTGTCTATCCAATTTCTCTATATTGGTATCTATTTTTTAGATCTAGTTTTTATAGTAGTATTATCAAAGATCTATATTACCTCTTTGCTCAGAATTTTCAAGTAAGTTCTAGCTTTCTAGTTTTATAGATTTATATGATCTAAGGATTTATTTTAGGTTTATACTACCTAATACTGGTTTGCATTCTTCTGTGTAATCAAGATTACACAAATGTTTTAGACCTATTAATTATACTAATGCAATTATGTTATAGGTATCCTATCCTAACTGATTAATAGAATGTTATTGCTATAATATTATCTATATATTATATAGATAATTATCCAAATTTCACTGTCAGTAGGTTTTGAACTTATAACCTACTATTTAGGAAAATGACAACTTATTTATTTTACTAATTTACTATACTTTTTTATAAAACTTTTTAAATTACAACTAATTTTTATTAAAATTTCACAAAATATAAATAAATAATTTATCTATTATAATAAAATTTTGAACTATTTTTATATTTAAAAAATATATACTTATATATATTACAAAGTTTTTCTAAAATAACTCAAAATTAGAATGTGGTGACTTAGTGAAGTAGTTAGGTTGTTAACCTCTAAGTGGCAGGTTCAGAGTTCAAATTTCAGTGTTAATGAAAAATTTGAAAATCTTTACTATGTTACAATTAACTGTTTCTTACAATTGGTTAAGATAAGATACCTATTACCTGTGTCATACCAGTATGACTAGTAGGTCATATAGTATTTGTATAACAGTTACATAACATTGTTCTTTAGGACAAAATCTATAGTTATATAAAGAAATGCAAACCAGTATCAGATGGTACAAACCTACAATAAGTCCTTATAACTATGTAAATCATAAAAACTAAATAAAGGAAAATAAAAGCCCACTTGGAAGACCTGAGTAGAGAGATAACCCAAACTTTTAACAGTACTACTATAAAGACTAGATTTATAAAATAGAGTTAGAATATGTAAAACTGGACAAATGTGCTAGTCTTTAAATAAAGGTTAAATGAACTAATCAGACTGTTAGAATTTTTGGATTTCAAAAGAAAAGAGATATGTTGACAAACATGTAAACCAGATATATATCTCTTAAATTGTATTGCATGCAAATTTGTCTACATCTTTTTTTTAAAAATTAATTTTTATAATAAAATTTTAACAAGTAATTTTAGCAATATACTTTTTAAGTAAAAAACATTTTTAAAAGTTTATTTTATAAACTTAGTTAAGAAATTTTTCTAACTTTATTAAAAAACTTTTAATTAATTAAAGTTTAAAGATTGTATAATATAAAAGTTTATTATTAAAATATTTTT